TACAAGGTATGGACCTGGTATTTACTGGATACATACTTGGTACTTATTTAGGTACAAACTAGGTACTTACAGGTTATGTACCAGATACTTATGCATGTAGCTGTCACATAGCTAGTACTTACAGGATATATACGTATATATCCAGTACATATCTCTAATGTAACAAGTTGTAATATAATAATAATATAATATAGCTGTAATAACCCCTGATTTGTTAAAAAATACTGGTATTTTGTGTGTATCATCCATAATTAAAATGAAATACTGTACGTTTTCATCCAGTCTTTCTGCAGTGGGTCAAAAAGAGCTGAGGTTTGAGTGTGGTGAAGTTACGTCATCAGAAAAATAAAGGTTAACATGGCAGTTAACACAAGTCCATTTTATTAAGGCTGGTTCATTTTCAGCATTTCCGAAGTCTCTTTCGACCAAAGCAGTCAGCTTATTTCATCGAAAAGGTAAAATCATTCCCTACAACAAGCTCTGTGAGCCCAGACGGGTTCGAGCTGAGCATGTTGTTATTTCCAGTAAAAGCTGAACCCTTTGTGTGCGCAGCTGAAACAGGTGAACCACAGCTGAAGGACGGCACACTCCAGCAGAATAAAGAGATTTAAACCACTGATTTAATTCACCGTCTTCATAGTGAAAACGGTGAACAGAAATGGTCAATTTCAAAACAGGTTCTTTAGACAGAAGTTTCCCATCACCAGATGGAAACAAGCACTTATAATATATTTTAACAATACAACCTTAAAATGTTCGTCTGATTGCACATTTAAAAATAGGAAATTAACTAAATGTCCCAACTATTTTTATTCTTTGAAAACCTTGAGTTTTCAGACGGACTGGATGGACTCTGTACGTTAAAAGATGTGCTGTGTTTGCATCATTTATCTTAATTAAAACAGCTTGGACAGCAAAGTTTAAGTTTTCACAGTGAGAATCTGGTTGAAACTGGAAATTGAAAGGTTTGGATTCTGCAGCAGAAGAAGCTGACCTGGTGCAGCTGAGATATCATATCTTTGGTCCCATCAGATGATTGACTGAAGTCTCCTCTTTTCTCTGTCACAGACACTACTTTGATGATGCTTTCTCTGCTCGACCAAAGGGGAAGAAGAAGAAGAAGAAGTCGGAGCGCAAGAGGAAAAGAAAAAGGTGAGTTTTCAAAGATGGAGGCTGCTGCTGTCTGATGTTCCACTCCTTTGTTGTGTTTTTTGAAATAAATAAAAACACAGCTAGTACTGTGCAAAGTGCAAAGGATTGCATCAAAATGAACAATTCATGTGACATGTTCACTACACTACTTTTCTTTCACCACCGTGAAACTTTTTAAATCTTATTACACTGAACTGGATTGATTTTAATCAAGATTGTTATTGGATTGACATGGACTGAACCTGAAAAGGTTGAACTGGATTAAATTAGCTTGAAATAAACTCTACAAGAAAATTGGAAAACGTCATAACAAATTTAACGTCTTAAAACTGGTTAGATTGAATTAATTTTATCAAACTGTTTTTAACAAATGAAATTACACATGTATGTAATTACACCTATACAGTATACATATATGTATATATATATGTGGGTGTATACGTGTGTATATGTATATATATAAATTATATGGAGTGTGCTTAACACAATTTGAAAATACGATAACAATATTTTACACTTGACTGGAAATAAACTGGTTATTTGAAACTACCCTGATTAATCAAAACATAATGGACTTAATTTATTTTTAAGTAGAATAAATTAAAATTGAAATCACCTGAATCATAATTTAATGGACTGAGTCTAAAAGTTATTGTCTTTGGGTAAAAATGTACCTTTTGAATTTAGAACAAACAGTATAGTTTAAATTATGATAAACTACGCCCCCGTAATTCAGAAACCGAGAAGAAGCTGGTAAAGAGAATGGATGGAGACTGCGCACAGTATATTCATGATTCATTTGAATGAGTTGAATTTTTTTGGACTACATTTAATTAAACTAAACACCATGAACGTGGCTTAAAATGAGCTTTACTTGGGTTTAACTGAACTGAGTGGATCTGAAATAAACTGGACTAAATGTGATTTTAATTGGATTTTAATTGGACTTAATTGAGCTGTATTTAAATTAACTGAACTGAAGTTTAACTGGTCTATATTTAATTAGATTAACCTGAAATAAACAGTATGAATGGAGCTTAATAGTATCCAGGACTAAATTTAATGAATTGGTGTCTAAACTGAACTGAATGCATCTTGAATGATTTGGACTACATTTCTATATAAAAGGATTAAATTAAATGTTCAAGATTAGCTTTAATGAATTTCTGTTACAAAACTAAAATGTTTAATTAATTTGTACTTAACCAAGTCTTCCAATATGTTTAAAATGTGTTTTTGTGTTTAGGTCTCCTTCCCCCAGTCTGTCGCCAGTGAGGAAGAAGAAAAAGAAGAAGAAGAAGAGCTCAAAGAAAAGCAAGCGGCACAGGTAGTTTCCTCCTTCGTTACCTCGGTGATGAAAACACGACATCTGAAAATTAAGGTAATATAAATGTTTATTTTTTCTACATTTCAGGTACACCTCCAAGAAATCCAAACACAGGTACTTCGAGGAACTCGGTTTTCTCATTTCTGCGTGCCTCGTTGCAGTTTAAACTCATCGTATTGTTCTGTTGCACCCCTGCAGCTCCGCAAGTTTAAAACGTAAAAGGAAAGATGAACGCAAGCGCAAGAAAAGGTCAGTCTGTGGTTCCTCTGCAGCATTTACACCCCCACCCCATAACTTCCTTTTCCTGTTGTCAGCCCAGCCTCCTTTTTGAAATCCCTCGACATGCAAGAAGAAAAAGCAGATTGTCAAACTTTATAAAAATGCCCAAAAATGTAATGAAAAACAGAAAATCTGAACCAAAACAGTTAAGAAAAGACAGACAAACAAATTTAGTGCCGTGAAGTTGCAAATTTGAAATTTGATTTGGGATTATGGTGTTGTCGTGCAGGAGTCCAATTCATCAACAGAAATAAATGATTTTCAAGTCCAAGTTTATTGTCGTTCGCATCACATGTGGTACATGAGGTGGACTGAAACTGTGTACTCATGATCCCTGATAAGCACAAAAATAGCAAAAGTATTAAGTATAAAAATAAACTTTATACAAGGCTCTAAGATTTACGCTCAACGCTAATATTGTAAAATAATACGGCGTTTCAAACAGCAGCCCCAACATGAGTCTTTGGTGAGCAGGTAGGTATGAATGAACACAGCAGCATGAGATAATCAGCAGCATGAGTTCAGCAGCATGGGTAATCAGCAGCACAGGTAAGTCACATACAATTAAAGTGATTGTTTTTTTTACGTTGATAATCCTGACTAGGGATTCATGAGTCTAACAGCTTCAGGGTAGAAGCTGTTCCTCAGTCTGGTGGTTCTACACTTAATGCTCCTTAACCTCCTTCCTGAGGGGAGTGGGGCAAAAAGTGTGTGTGCTGGGTGAGTGGGGTCCTTCATGATGCAGGGGGGCCTCTTCCTGCATCTGGAGGTGTAGATGTCTGTGACGGTGGGGAGACTGACTCCAACAGTTGTTGCCCCAGCTGAGGTTGTCATTCAGGTGCACACCAAAGTACTTGTAGCTAGAGACCACTTCCACCGCAGATCCTACTATTTTCGGGGGGTGTAGGTGTGTTAGCTCCATCTGAAATCCACAAACATCTCCTTCGTCTTTTTCACAGTGATGTGAAGGTTGTTCTTCCTGCACCATCTCTCCAGATGTTCCACCTCCTGCCTGTAGCTGGACTCATCAATATTTAAGATGCATCCAACCACTTACTTGCAATGAGTAATTTTAAACTCATTGCAACTTTTTTTGATTTTTATTGTCAGTGCACTTGTCTTTTTAGCTTTACCATTTTTAATATTACATTTTTTTATGTTCTACTTTTTTCTTTTGTTCATTTGTTTTTGGCGCCATATGAAAACTTTAAGAGCAAAGATTTGCACGTTCGTTTTGTAAGATTACCATGTTAAATCCTTAAATTAGTTGAAACGGTTTGCAAAACACACCAGAGCATAATTTATGTTTTTACCATGAATGTGGTGGTTGTTGGTGTCTGAGGATCCAAGACTGCAGGCAACAGGTTAAAGACAAAGAGATTTAATGAAATTGATATCAAAAGTTCAGGAGGAGTCAAAAACCAGAACTGAAAGCTGACAGATGAGGTTCTGGCCGAGCTTGGGTAAAAATAATGTGATTTTATTTGCTGGGAGGGTTTATTGGTGAGTCAAAACATCTGAGAGGATTACTAATGATTGACAGGTGTGCGACCGAAAAATCAGGAGAGCAGAGGAGAATTATGGCCATGAAATATAAATCCTAAAACTTCCAGGCTGGACAGGTAACAGAAGAAAACGATGACTAAAAAAAATAAAACTCTGACAGAAATGAGTAATAAATGCAAATAAATAAACGGAAAGCACAAGAAACTAGTCTAAAACAGGGAAACAAATTACACACAAAAAAAGTGATGGTTTAGTCTCTTGTTCAATGTGAAGCACGGTGTCGGAGGTGTTATGATTTGGGGTTTCTAGGCTTGCAGGCTCAGTTTGTCTCCATCAAGCTGGAATAAAACTGGAAATGGCTTTTCAAAAAGATCATGATGTACTGAAGCTAATCCATCAAAAGACTGAAACAAAATCAAACAAAACGCCAGTCAGATGTTTTAGGACTTCTGAAACTAACATCCAGTAACACGTACAGTAAATCCTCAAAAGTCTTGTACTTTTGGGAAATTCGCACAAAATAACTGAAAACATCCACTTTTTAAAATAAGTTTATCAAAACAAACATTTTCCTCCCTTCCTAATTTGTATGATTTTATGTTTTTTATAACAAATATTTGGGTAAAATAATGTTTCTTTTTACAAATCAACACTTTTTTTCCTTCAGACCTGACATGATGTGCTTTTTCAGTTTTTTATTGACTAAACTATTGACCTGCATGTGTGACTTCACTGCTTCTGCTCAAAATGTTGCAACAGTAACAAATGTGTGAGCGTGAGTGTTAAAAATAAAGATTACTAACATTATCCTACTTTTTTTTTAATTTGTTAAATGCAAACAAATAAAACAAATTGTGGGGAACCACAAAGAAGTTAAGTCAGTATCTGGACAGATTATTTTTGATTGAAACGTTTCATCTTTCATCCGAAAGACGAAAAGCTAGTTCCTGGAAGTCCCCAGCAATCTGGTGTGATCCACTTTGAAAAGGGGCTATTTATACGACTGAACGTGTGGTAGGCCTCAGACTGATGAAGTCTTCTGGATGAAAGATGAAACGTTTCAACCTAGAAGAATCTGTCCAGATGACCTGACTTAACTTTTGTGTGATTTATGTACCTGGATGATGGAGCATGCATCAGAACAAATTGTGGTGACATTTTGATTGCACAATACCAATGAGCTTCTTCTTTCCATCCTCCAGCTCACGGACTCGCTCTCATCGAAGACGACGCTATCGGAGGTCAGAGTCACACTGCTCTTCCTGCCGATCCTTCACAGAGGACAGGTAGGGGTCCTCCTGCATCCGCCACCTGCACCCCCTCGTCTTATCTTATCAGCTCGAGGTGTCTGCCGAGTCCTTGCTCTCACCGCAGCAGTAACTGATAAGGCAGAGGTGACTTCAACCTCCGGCCGAACCAACCCTTATCACAGCCTCACAGGAAAACGGCCACAAACTCCCCCCACTGATCAATGCACTCAGGCATTATGACATGAAGCAATATATTGAGTCTGTGATGATATGAGAGAAATGTGGACAGTTAGTTGTGGATTAGCCTTGGGTGACTGATGGTGGCCGAACTGGATAATGATTAAATGTCTTTGATCACAGCTGATTGAGGATTATTGCACTGTAGAGTCAGGAAGGAAACACAAGGACGACCCCAGTGAATCATCCTCATGTTTTCTGAGGTGGAGGGATGGACAAAACAGAGGCACGAAATCAACACAGAAGTAAATAACTAATGAATAAAAGCGAAAGCTGCTGCCAACATCCAAAAACATTAATCGCCAACTGTGAAGACGGGCGAACAAAACCCCTCAAGAAGTCCACGAGAAAAATAAAAATGAGGATCCTCATGTCTGTAAAGCTGACTGCCTCAGGGCTATTTTTGTGTTGGTTAGAGGAGCAGACATCTTGATCAGAAGATGTCCATCAAGTCACTACATTATAAAAGTTTCATTAAAATTGTCCAGTGATTCATGGATTTTCTTTCTAATAGAGTTAAATCCATCAGTTTAGGCTAAAGTTTTCAGCAAAATCTTGGGCAGTGAGTAGAAATGGAAATGGAAGAACAAGCCTAAGTTAGCAGAAGAAAGCAGATTAAACACATATTTCCTGAATTAGGTTTAAATAAGCAGAAATTAGTACAAAATTAAGGGAATTAGCAATAAAAAAAACAAAATTAGCAAAAAAAATAAATAAAAATTGCTGAAAAGTAGCTGAAAAGACAAAGAAGCTTAAACGACCAGAAGTGGAAGGAGCTGAAATGAGTTTTAAAAAATGTGGAATTAGCTGAAAAGGCTCAAATTAGTTTTAAAGCAGCTAAATAGTAGCTGAAATAGTAGAAAAGTTTAAATTAGCAAAAATAAATTGAATACTGAAAGCATAAACAGCATAAGTTAGCAAAAGAAGTTGATTAGTATGAAAGCAGCAGATATTACCACAAAAAAACTTCATCTTAAAACAGCTAAAGCTTAGCTAAGAAACATGCTGCAATGTGGTTGAAAAGGTAGAACAAGCTTAAATTAGCAGAAGAAAGCAGAAGTAACACGTTTGCCTATTTAGACCGAGAAAAGCAGAAGTGAGCACAAAAAGTGGACATTGTATAAAAAAGACAGACATTAGCAACAAAAACAGCTGAAAAGTAGATAAAAGGCAGAAAGAAGCTTAAATTACCATAAGGCGGTGGAGAGAACACATTTTTGCTGAATTAGGCTGACAAACGAGCATAAAAATGTGGAATTAGCTGAAAAAGCTTTAAAGCTTAAAAACTATTAAGTATTAAGCTTTAAAAAGCTTAATAGTAGCTGAAACTTGCAGAAATAAGCTGAAAGGTGTATAACAAGGTGAAACTGGCAGAAAGAAGAAGAAGAAAATGTTGTAGTTAGCAGAACGAATGTGAAAGGAGCACAAAACAGCTGAAAAACAGCTTTAATTAGATGAAAATGATTAAATTTACATAAGGAAGCTGAAAGAAGCTGAACCAGAATAAAATGTGAAAGGAGCAGTAAAAGGTTGCAAACACATTTAAACATTCAAAGGATGTAAAACGAGCTCAAGTCATTTTCTATGAGGAAAAAATGGCAGAAAAGGCTAAATATTTCAAAAAGCTAAAATTGCACAAATACTAAAAGTCATAACAGGATTTTCCTGAAAGAGCTGAAGGTTTTGATAAATGATTTGTTGAAATAGTACAAAAATTGTGGAACGAGAGTTTCACACAAGAAATAAATTAAATATAATAAAACAAGTTAACTCAGGAAATTAGTCACAAATGTTTTAATGTCACAGCTGAAAAAAAGAAAAAGCCAGAAAATGATCTCGTACTGAGTTCTACAAGCTGGATATGACGGCATTGTTTGCTCTGAACGTTTTAATAAACATTTCTTAAATTCTTTATTTAGATGAAACACAAGTCTTCATGAAATAAACTTCACAGGCAGTTTAACAGCCATGAAAACATTATTTTTACATTTATGTTTTAATGGGCATAAACTACATTTTGGTTAAAAAAGAAAACCTAGAAAGCAAGTTTGGATACTTCGCCAACATTAATGAGCCGAAGCTGTGATGAAACACCAGATCTGCTGATTCTGTGGTTCTGTTCAATGGACTAAATGTTGCATTTCCCTGCAGACACCACCCGCAAAAGTCTGTGGTTCATCATTTGAGAGAACTGGGAGAAACCAGAGCCGAGTTCAGCCACACGGACTCAAAGTGGCCGCGCACAACCAAATCTGTGTGTAAACCAGCTGAAAAATATCGCTCCATCCTCTTAGCCGGCACCGTAAGTACTCTTTGAGTTTCACATCGCTGCCAGAGGCCCGACTTTATTCCCTCGGTCAGTTTGTTCTGCTTTTCATTGTTAAAACACATTTTTACCGTGATTCGTGCAGCTGTATTGTTCAGGTGTTCTTTAAGAAATTAAACTTTTTAACCTTAAACACCATAAACGTGGTGGGTAGGAAAACAAATTATAAGAATGTGATTTTTTTTTACCCCTACCTTAATTGAAATGTGTTTCTCAGCATAAATTCACAGTTTACTAAAGAGGATTTGTACCGTATTTTTCGGACTATAAGGCGAATTAAGTGAAACAAAATTTAAATTCAATTAAATTCAGTTTATTTAAATAGCGCCAAATCACAACAAAGTTGTCTCAGGGCACTATAGCAGCATAACTAAGGGACAGCTCAGGAAACCCAAGCCGACCCTAACTATAGGATTTAGCAAAAAGGAAAGTCTTCAGCCAGGCAGCACGGTGGCGCAACTGGTAGAGCTGCTGCCTCTCAGCGACCAGGTCCCTGGTTCAAACCCCGGTCCAGGGGCCTTTCTGGGTGGAGTTTGCATGTTCTCTCCGTGCATGCGTGGGTTTTCTCCGGGTACTCCAGTTTCCTCCCACAGTCCAAAAACATGCATGTTAGGCTGATTGGTAACTCTAAATTGTCCTTAGGTGTGAGTGAGAGAGTGAATGGTTGTTTGTCTCGTTTGTCTCTATGTGGCCCTGTGATGGACTTGCGACCCGTCCAGGGTGTACCCCACCCCTCGCACAGTGATTGCTGGACATGGGCACCAGCGACCCCCGTGACCCAAAATGGAATAAGTGGGTAAAGATAATGGATGGATGGATGGAAAGTCTTCAGCCTTGTTTTAAAACTGGATAATGTGTCAGCCTCACGTACAGAGATTGGAAGTTGGTTCCACAAGAGAGGAGCCTGAGAACTGAAAGATCTGCCTCCCATTCTGTTTTTGTAAATTCTAGGAACCACAAGTAAACCTGCAGTCTGAGAGCGAAGTGCTCTGTTAGGAAAATATGGAACAATAAGATCTGTAATATAAGATGGAGCTAGGTTGTTGAGAGCTTTGTAGGGTAGAAGTAAGATTTTGAATTCTATTCTGGATTTGACAGGGAGCCAATGGAGAGAAGCTAAAACTGGAGAAATATGATCTCTCCTATTAACTCCGGTTAAGACTCTGGCAGCAGCATTTTGGATCAACTGAAGACTTTTTAAAGAAGTATTTGGACATCCAGATAATAAACCATTGCAATAGTCCAGTCTAGACGTGACAAGTGCATGGACCAGTTTTTCTGCATCATTTTTAGATAAGATGTTTCTAATTTTAGTGATATTACGCAGGTGGAAGAAGGCAGTTCTAGTAACATTTTTAATGTGGGGGATAAAAGACATGTCCTGATCAAAAATAACACCAAAATTTTCAACATTAGAGCTGGAGGACAGATTAATGCCATCTAAGGAGGGAGAAAGACTGAAAAATTCATTCCTAAAGTGCTCAGGTCCAAAAACCAAAACCTCAGTCTTGCCTGTGTTCAACAGGAGAAAATTAAGGGTCATCCAGGTTTTTATGTCTTAAGACATGATTGTAGTCTAAGTAGCTGATTGGATTCATTGGGTTTAATGGACAAATATAATCGAGTGTCATCCGCATAACAATGAAAATGTATCCCATGCTGTTTAATAATTTTACCAAATGGAAGCATATATAAAGTAAAGAGCATTGGCCCAAGCACTGAGCCCTGAGGAACTCCACGACCAACTTTGGTGTATGAAGAAGATTTATTATTTACATTTACAAACTGGAATCTATCAGATAGATATTATTTAAACCATTTTAGAGCCGTTCCTGTAATCCCAATATCATATTCAAGTCTCTGTAGTAAAATATTGTGATCAACTGTATCAAATGCAGCACTGAGGTCTAACAGGACCAGTATAGACACAAGTCCATTGTCTGAGGCCATGAGAATATCATTAGTGACTTTTACTAGTGCTGTTTCTGTGCTATGATGAGCTCTAAACCCTGACTGAAACTCTTCAAACTGATTATTTCTTTGTAGATGTTCAAGCAACTGACCTGCAAATATTTTCTCTAGAATTTTTGAGATGAAAGTTAGATTAGATATAGGTCTATAGTTGGCCAGAATTTCTGAATCAAGATCAGACTTCTTAAGTAAAGGTTTAATTATAGCAACCTTAAAGCGCTGCGGTACATAACCATCCATTAAAGACAAATTAAGTAGATCCAAAATGTGGACATTAATTAGGGGAAATGTCTCTTTAAACAGTCTGGCTGTGATGGGATCTAGCAGACATGTGGATGGTTTGGATGATGTTATTATTTTTGACAATTCAGAGCTCAACAGGACAAAAACTGTCCAAACATAAATCAGACTCTATTGAAATTTTTAAAGTTGCCTCATTTGACAGGGGACTAGAGATAGTAGAAGGAAGGATGGTTTGAATGTTCTCTCTAATTGAAATAATTTTATTTATAAAGAATCTCATGAAGTCATCACTACTTATAGTTGTAGGATACATGGTTCAACAGAGATGAGACTTTTAATTAGTCTAGCAATAGTACTAAACAGAAACCTAGGGTTATTTTTATTCTCCTCTATTAAAGATGAGTAATATAAAGTTCTAGCTTTATGGAGAGCTTTTTTATATGTTAGCAGACCATCTTTCCAAGTTACATAAAATTCTTCAACATTAGTAGAGCGCCATTTTCTCTCCTGGTTTCTAGATGCCTGCTTTAAAGTATGTAACTCAGAATTGAACTAAGGAGCCAGTTTCCTCTGGTTGATTACTTTCTTTTTCAGTGGAGCAGTTTTATCAAGTGACGTTTGCATTGAAGTTGTAAGATGATCAACTAGATGATCTAAGTCACTGTTCTCTGATGCATTACTCTGCAAGACAGAGGAAAGCATTGATGGAAGAGATTGTTTGAAGTTGATTACAGCATTTTCTGATAAGCACCTGCTGAACAGGTCAGAAACAGTGAGATAAGTCAAATTTTAATCAACTCATTCACAATAACTCTCAAGATTGTTCTGTTGTACTATATAAAATTGTTTTGAGGTCAGTAAGCACAACCAGAAAAGGCTCATGTTGATTTTTGAGAAAATTAAAAGATTTTAAGTGTGCCTTATAGTCTGAAAAATATATTTATGGTATAATTGTTGTATGTGCAATCGGAGCCTTGATACATGACATGAGAAACCTTGATTTCACTCGGAGCTGGGTCCGCTGCAGAAGCTGTTTGCTTTTATATAAAACAGCTTTTTAACAATCATGTGGAACCGAAGTGCTCTGTGGAATAGTAATGATCAGTTTTATGATGACTTTTTGTCTTTAATCATGAGTTGCCAGAAGCATTTAAAAGTGCAGCAGCTTTTTAACACGTGGAGCTTCGACAGAGAGCTCCAAAACGCTGCGACACAAGAAACAAGCCATGCTGCAGAAAAACACTAACACACACACTTATTAATATTCATATCATCATATTTTGTTTTCTTTATTTAAACTACCCATTTTCACATTACAGAAATAGCTGATTAAAACAGCAGATGCAGATTTCTTTTATTATGGTGTTTTAAACCTTATCAGTTCTTTTTTAGACCCATTGTCTCCTGCTTGTTGGAGCATGAAGCAGAATAATTTATCTCCAGCAATCATGAAAATATGCTAATTGCAACGATGAATGACTTTAAATACTTAATAGCAGAATAGAAACGTATTTAAATAAATCATTGATTGAAACATGAAAGCATTTATCAGAGGAACATCACATACTGCGAGGCATACATTATTAGAATGATGTTGCTTTTATAGTTCTTTATTTTGTTTTGTTTGCTGAAAAAAGACCAATTTAAATTGTAGTACATGATGACTTGTTTTTTACTTAACCCTCCTGCTGCCATTGGATCATAACTGACGAGGTCTCACTGTTAAACCTGAGACCACGTGGGTGATTTTGACCCACGGCAGCTGGAGGGTTAAACAGCTTCAAAACAAACCAGGTAGGTATAAGTAAAAATGATGGGGAAGGAAACATTAGTTGCATGGGTGCAGCCAATGACTAAATTAGGCTTTAATGTCTGTAAATATAAGATTTCTTTAATTTTAGAACAATCAATACATGAAGCAGCAACTGAAGAAGTTGCACGTGAGCCTCAAATGATGAGATGTTTTCTTGAAGCCATCCTTGTGGAAACATCTCGTGATGACACGGAAAAAAATGTTTGCAGAGAATTTGTGAACCTTTCAGTCCTGAGTGTGAACAGATTTTGTGAAATGGGACTTTTATAGAGGGATGATGGAAGATTTGCTTTAAATGTCCCTGATGGTTGCTCTGCTGTGTTGACTGAAGACTAAACCATGGGAAATCCTCTTGTAGTCGGGCTTCACCTAACTCGATTTTTTTTGTTTAAGTCAGTTTCTTCTTTTTGGCTCCAGGTCATTGAGTTCCTCTGCCAATTCAAATCTCTGCAGCCATATCCACACTTGTTTTGGGTACAAAAAGAAGCCATCTGCCACACGAGTACCAGACTTTTCGCCATACAAGTTGCACCTTTTTGCATAAATTTGCATGCCTGTGACTTATATGGCGAAGCGACGTATTTGTTTTTTTTCCGATATTTATAACCCAATTTTTGGCTGCGATCTGACGATTTTATTCATTCTGACATGGAAAATATTGAACAATACCATTTTCAGCCACTAGAGGGCCCAAGCCAAGTGTCTCATTAATAGATAAAAGTGACTATTAATGAGACACTTGGCTTGCCTTAGAAGCCACCTTCGTCTCACCATTTAGCAGTCAATTGATTTTTGACACAACACCGGCCCACGTTTCCGGGTGGTGAGTGGTGACGCATAATAGATGCAACATATTTATGTTTTATTCCACTTTATTAGACATATTTGGGCTGATGCAACTTATACGGTGGTGCAACGTGTACAGCAACAAGTACAGTAATTATACCGACCCCAGCCACCTGTAAACACACTCTGTAGCAGCTTCTTACCCACTTTGGCAGCCACACCAACTTAGATTTAATCTACTGGAGTAAACGTTCATATGAAGATAAGCCAATTTTGCCAATTTTTCTATATATCATTAGCATGATTAGCTCAGGACGTTCAAGGGTGTTGCCCCAGATGTTTCCTGAATAGCTGCTGAAAAGAGGAAATTTCAAAATGCAGTTTTATTCAAACCATGTATTCATCTCCTAAAATAATGACACTTCTTGTTTGCCTAAAAACACAAGTCAGACTTTCTCTGCATTTCATACAAGCAGCAAATACTTCAAGACACCCACTGTCAAGAGTCTGTGCCTGGCATGTGGCTTATTTGTGCACAACCACTGAGCAAACACCTCCATGTACTGGAGCACACGTTTGAAAAAGTTTGACTTATCCCTGTGTCCTGGTCATGTAGGGTCAGTTTCAGAACGATATGCAGCACCCAAAAAGCACTTTGCCTCAACAGGTTCTACAAAGTACTTTACAGTGTTTCTCTTTTACACGAACACTCATTACATTGATAACCATTTGGGACGGTGGGGAGTTTATTGTCTTAGCCAACAACTCTTGGACACACTGGAGGCAGCATGACGGCTTGATGGTTAGCATTATTTCCTCATAGCAAGCTGGTTCAATCCCCGCTTTGGACCTGGCGTTTTTCTGTGTGGAGTTTGCAGGTCCTCCTTGTGTTTTCATGGGTTTTCTCTGGGTACTCTGGTTTCCTGCCTATGTCCAGAGGCATGCATGTTAGGTTGCCTTCAGACTCAGGCCTCCCTTGCAAAAAGGTCTGTGAGCTCGGTGAGATTTACCTGGTTAAATAAATGTCAGCAAATAAATAAGTATATTTTGGAAGTCTAACCACTGATTCAATTCAGTTTATTTCTATAGCACCAAGTCACAACAGGAGTTGTCTCAGGGCACTGAACAATAACATTCACGTACATAAAAAAGCCAATAAGTAAAAGTTATTTATCTAAGGAAGCAGCAGATTGTGTTGAATCTTCACTTGGTAACAGTCTCCCATCCTGAGCAAGCACAAAGGCAACAATGAAAAGGAGAAACTCCCTCTTAACAGGAAGTAACCTCTTCCAGAACCAGGATCAGGACGAGCGGCCATCTATTTCGACATGCTCCGGTTAGAGAGGACAGGAAGGAGAAACAAGCAAACACAGAATGGCAGGTGCAGGTGTACCGCCTATTGCAAGAAAGACAAAAAACACATTTTATGGATAGAAACAAATACAAATACTCAACATGTAGAGCAAGTAAAGACAACAGCAGAGCGAGATAATGTGGTCAATGTGTCCTCCAGCAGTCTAAGCATGTAGCAGCACAACTAAAGGATAGCTCAGGAAACCAAAGCCAACCCTCAGTATTTATCCAAAAGAAAAGACTTAAGACTAATCTTAAAAGTAGACAAGGTTTCAGCCTCACGGACAGAAACTGGAAGTTGGTTCCACCTAATATGAGTCTGATAGCTGAAAGATCTTTCTCCCATTCTGCTTTTAGAAACTCTAGGAACCACAAGTAAACCTGCAGTTTGAGAGCTAAGTGCTCTGTAATGAAAGTTTGGAACAATAATATATGTAATATAAGATGGAGCTAGGTTGTTGAGAGCTTTGTAGGTTAGAAGTAAGATTTTGAATTAAATTTTGGACTTGGCAGGGAGCCAGTGGAGAGAAGCTAAAACTGGAGATATATCTTCTACCAATTCTCATTTAAGCTCTAGCAGCAGCATTTTGGATCAACTGAAGACTTTTTAAAGAATATTTGGACACACAGTAAACAATTGCAATGGTCCAACCTAGACATGATAAATGCATTTGCACTTGAGCCTGCATTTTGATGGCAACTCCTCTTCCACTATGCCAGAGCTGCACCATATTTGTAAATCGGTATCATTTAAGTGCACGGGTTTGACATGGTGACCATTTTGTATCCAACTCTTACTAAATAACCACTGGGTATAAAGCAGAGAACAAACTGGCAGAGGTACAATTTGACCAGAACCCGATTTGTTCGTTTATTTTTCATTTATGCACAGCATGAAAGAAACAGCGCACACTTAATTATCCGGTATTTTCTCCGCAAAAACACTAAAATAATGCACCATTGGGGGAAATAAAAGGAACAAACCTGTGTATGTCTGATTGGCTCAGGGTTTGAAGAGAGGGTTGTTGTCTTTTTTCTGCAATTTACGACTCTAATGATGCACTTATGTTGCCCGCTCTTCCCCTTTTTTTTACACCTTACCTACTTAAGGAGGAAATCTTGATTGGTAAGTCGCTGCTATCTGCAGATTAAGGGATTTGATCTTAGGTTGGTGCAGGCTAATTATTTATTCTCAGGAGAGAGCACAGACATCTGTCCTTTCTGAGGGCTTTCTTAGTTAGACTCATGGGCTCTCTCTTTGTCTGCAATCCTTTTTATTTCTACATAAATCCTGTTGTTGTGATGTTTGTTCAATGTTCTTTAAATGAGGCTTTTCAATGGGGGCTATTGTTTACTCTTTTTTCTCTTCACAAGTTAGAGCTGGTAGATCTTTCCACACATAGATTTTTCTTCGTCTCTGCTCTTTTGTTGTTCCTTTCCTGTAACTTTTTTTTTTTAGATTAGACCTACAAATCTATATATATTTCTTTGATTTCTTTGACTTTAGTAAAGTTCAGATTGCTTTCGAGGTTATTCGCATGCTTCTACAGATTTGCATGATGTCTTTCGAATCTTTCTGTCCAGAAAAAAAAAAAAATCTCTTAACTGTGTTTTCAATGGGGTATGTGGCTTTGTACTAGAGTATTCACAGTGCATCGACGCAGGTATGTTTGAATCAAAGCAGACTTGGTTTTAAGCTCAAGTCTTTTTGTCTGTTTGCAGATTTTACCATCAAAGCCTGGAAACAAGCTTTTAAATGGTGGTGGAGCTCAGGAATCGGCGTGTCTTGCTGAAGGTCCTCGTGATTACGACTCCGGGAATGACACATCTTCGCCTCCATCGAGTAAAACTGGTGTTTCACGGACAAGCGCCACTGAGAACAAGAACAGCCTGTGTCAACATCTGGCCTCGCCTAACAAGAAGCAGAAATGTTCTTACAAAGACAACGGCTCTGATTCAGGAAACTCTGTGACGAGCTACGATTCTTCCTGCAAACCTTACGAGGAGGACAGATTGTCTGCGATCGTTTTCAGAGGAAACGGCAAGAGGTAAATGTGTTTGTGCCTCACAACACTCTGGTCTAATAGTCAATATATTCTATAGAATATAGAATATATCATTGGTATTATTATCCCATAGGATCCTATCCTATGGGATAAGTATACTGATAAATGTGAGCGTTGACATGTCCAGCCTAATAACTGTAAATTACTGTAATTTAAAGAACTGAGTTAATTAAATTCAGTTAATTTAGTTTAAATAGCACCATATCACAACAGAAGTCGTCTCAGGGCACTGAACAGAAACATTCACAAACATATACAATCAGTTAATAAAGTTATTTATCTAAGGATCCAGCAGATTTCTTTGAGTTTTCACTTCATCGCATGCAGTCTCCCATCCTAAGCAAGCATGAAGGCAACAGTGGAAAAGAAAAAGTCCCTCGTGATGAAGAAACCTCCAGCAGAACCAGGCTCAGGACAAGCGGCCATCTGCTTCGACCATCTAGGTTTGAGAGGAACAGGAAGGAGAAAACGAACACACAAGCAGGTCCAGGATGGAGGCCATCAGGTTTTCTCTGGGAGGGACGACAAAAAGACAGAAATCGCATGTTAAAAAATAATTATTACAAACACAAACTATTCATTCGTATGTATTTGTAACTGTTCATTTCATGAAATGAGATCAATTTGTTGTCCAGTAGTCTAAGGTTTTAGGTCAGGAAACCACGTTGATTCACTATAAGATTTATCAAAAAGGAAAGTCTTCAGCCCAGTCTTTAAACTGGACAATGTGTCAGCCTCACAGACAGAAACTGGAAGTTGGTTCCACAAGAGAGGAGCCTGATAACTGGAAGATCTTCCTCCCATTCTACTTTTGGAAACTCTAGGAACCGCAAATAAGCCTGCAGTATGAGAGCGAAGTGCTCTGTTAGAAAAAATATGGAACATTAAGATCTGTAATATAAGATGGACCTAGGTTGTTGAGAGCTTTGTAGGTAGAAGTAAGATTGTGAATTCTAGTCTGAATTTGACAGGGAGCCAATGGAGAGAAACTAAAAACTGGAGAAAAATCACCATAAACTATTTTTAATTCCGTTTACAAAGAGCCAAAGTATTAGTTGAAAAATTTACAGAATAAAATATTACACAGTTAGTTAAATTATTACGTCACCAAGCTCCAGTCTACATGTGAACAATGGTAACATAAGCATTTTTCCACAGTTGATTGTGGAAAAAAAATGCACATTTACAGGATAATGTTGTGCTCACTGAATCTGCTGTAGTTTCCATGCCAAGTCATTAGCTGGCGCATCACACATGGATTCACGCAGACACTTTAATCTCAAGCAATAAAAAAAGTTACATCCAAAATGGTGCCTACACAAACGTTAGTTTGGACTGAGGATGAGGTTCGACTGCTCCTTCACATGGCAAACGATGAGTGACACAGACATTACTCTACCATCCACCGTTGCTACTTTAAATCTACTCTCACGAGCGTAGAGAAACTCTTGATGGCAGCTGCCCGTAGCGTTCGCACCGATGTTGGGCGTCTCTAAAAAACTTCCACTCTGAGACCTGGATTCAAAAAGCTTCAGTGTCAAAGAAATGGCCACTATTGTCGGGTACATGAACAGTCGAAATGCAGCAAACACGCTATGGTTTCCATTAAAATTGGCCTCATGTAAACAAGGCCTAACTTTATTTACTAGGAGGAAATATCTTTTGGGGCAATTTGTTTTGTTTTACAAGGGCGCTGCCTCGCCTGCCTTTATTATCCGGCTGCCTCTGTTTGAATGAGTGTTTCCACCAAGATATGAAGTCTTCATTCTCTGTTTGCACACTCATTTGATGCATGCATCTTTCTGAAGAGGAATAAAGGGAGCTTTTTACAACAAACTGTAAAACATTTTGCCCTTATCGCTTAAAGCAATAAAGAACCTTAATGTAATTTCTTGCAGTGAGCAGATAACCTTGGGCTGTCAGGTAGAGGTTGTGAAATCTCCAAAGAAGAGGAGCAGATTGTCTCGAAGGCGGTTAAGGAGCCACTCATCCGGCAGCAGGAGCAGATCCTCGGGCAGTTTCAGAAACTCTGGACGTCGTTCTCGAAGTCCCTCTCTGTACTCGTGCAGGTACGTGATTTTATCTCCTAAGCATGTACGTCCACTAATATTCAACATACACTTTAGTGAGCACAATACTTTTTTATTATGGAGTGGTGGCACAGAAGGGCAGCACAGTGGCGCAACTGGTAGAGCTGCTGCCTCTCAGCAAACAGGTCCCTGGTTCAAACCCCGGTCCAGGGGCCTTCTGGGTGGAGTTTGCATGTTCCCTCCGTGCATGCGTGGGTTTTCTCCGGGTACTCCGGTTTACTCCCACATACCAAAAACATGCATGTTAGACTGATTGGTAACTCTAAATTGTCCCTAGGTGTGAGTGAGAGAGTGAATGGTTGTTTGTCTCGTTTGTCTCTATGTGGCCCTGTGATGGACTGGAGACATGTCCAGGGTGTCCCCCGCCCCTCGCACAGTGATTGCTGGACATGGGCACCAGCGACCCCCGTGACCCAAAATGGAATAAACGGGTAAAGATAATGGATGGATGGATGGATGGATGGAGTGGTGGCACAGAGGTTAGAGAAGGTGTGCCTGTAATCAGAAGGTCGCCGGTTCAACTCCTCTCACTGACAACACTGAAATGCGGGTGGTGTTGGATAAATTAATTATCCTTTCATCATCTCTTTACTCAATGAGCCACGCTGAGGACACAAGAAGACTTTTCAACCCAGTTTACTTGCAAGGGGGTTGCGTTCAAAACCGTGGAAGCGAATGTGTCTCAATTTTCAAATTAAAATGGATTAAAATAAATGCATTTCATTTTCAAAATAAAGCTGCATGTTTTGACTCATGAATTAAATTTTAAAAAAATTAATAAAACTGCATTTTCATTTTCTTTTCCAAGACTGCTCAATTTATAAATTAATAAAATTATATTACCATTTTCATTTGAAAATTGAGGCACATTCACTTCCATACAAAACAGGCGAAATTCCTCTGACAAGTAGGAAAGGTGAAGCTCCCACATCTGCCTCCACCCTCATTTAACCCACTCTGGACCCATGAGCAAGGGCTTCAACCACCACCTTCTGCTCCCGTGGGTGTCCTACGTGTCAGCTCTCTGCTCCACACAGAGGGCTGTGGTAGCTCGGTGGTCTGTGGTTGTGTCAAGAAGAGCATAAAAACAACTGACAAGTGTTTGTGCACGTTAGTTCTCTGTGGTGACCTCTGAAGAAGCGAGCAGCCGAAAGAAGAAGAAAAATCAGATGTTTGTTTATTTGCAGCTCGTACTCTCGTTCTCTGAGCAACTCGTCTGATACGAGGCGAAGCGGCAGCTTGGTCAGCCTGAGCTCCAGAGGAAGCTACTCCAGATGCAGCGTTGACAGGTGAACGTCACAAAGTGTTTCAGCTGCTAACTTCTCCTCATTAGCCATGCATAAGAACAAAACGTCACTGACAGAGTTGGTAATTAAATGTTCACACTGTGGTGACTGCTTGCTCAGACTACGAGACAGGAACAGACCATCCAGCTCCAGGGAAGCAGGCGTGAAGCGTAAAGTCGGCGGGAAAAGACGAAGACGCAAATCCTACACTCCTATGAGGAAGAGGAGGAGAGACTCTCCGAGCCATCTGGAAGCACGCCGCATCACAAGGTGCAGTCCTCTGATCTTCTTCGTTCATTAACACATTTTCATCACCATCACCGCAGACAGATCTCCCCCCCAGCTCAGACAGACAAGTCTTGTGGTCAAAGTGAACTTTGAAATTCAGCCAAAAGACGAGAAATCTGCCAGCTCCAACGTCCTTGCAGGTTTCAGAGAAACAGATGTTGAAAAAACAAATAAATAAATCTTTTTTTTTTTTTAACAGATGTGGCTTACAGCATAGTTTGTGTGAAGTTTCTTTCATTTCACACTTCAGATGTAGACACAGAGGTTGTTCTGTACAAAAACACTTAAAACACACGGCAAACACAAATGAATATAGAATATAGACTGCCTGATTATCACCCAACACCAAAAGTGATCATGTTTTAGCTCATTTCTCTCTGTGTGTGTCGGGGGGGGGGGGTACCCTTGTGTTCATTTGGCTCTAACTTTAGCAAATATCTCATGAATCAGTGGACAGATTTCAATGAAACTCTCAGAAAGGAATCACTAAATATACATCTACAGCCGATGAATATTTAGAGTCAGCTCGCAGCTATGCAACATTAATTAACAGAAAAAACAGCTAAAGGTCAACCAGTCTTACAATTACTGAGCTAAAGTTTGGTGTGGTAGTAGCAGAGAGTCGTCCTCAACACATACTCCAGTTCCTAACATATCTTTTGAGATATGTTACTGTCACCTGAGATGGACCACAAGTCTAAAGCCGCATGCCTTCTCATAATAAGATGCTTTTATTTTAAAATTGATGAAAAAAGTAAAGGTTTGTAGGCTCAATCATCCAGGTAGATAACAACAAAAAAGGTTAAATCGTGTCATCTGGATCAGTTTCTTTAAGTGAGAAACCTTTTGTCCCCCATCCAGAGGACTTTGTCAGTCTGTGGCCTGCCAACCAGATCTGTCCCATAGGTCGCCTTCACTGCTGTGATTCAAGCCAAACTACTGTTGGAATCTCAGAAGTAGGCAGAAGTTGGCAGGCCATAGACTGACGAAGTCCTCCAGATGGGGGACAAAACATTTCTCATTTAAAGAAACTGGTCCAGATGACAAGATTCAACCATTTTTGTTGTTATCTACCTGGATGATGGAGCTTACAAACATTTTTCTGAACCACTTTGGCCTTGGTTGTCCTCAGTCTGTTTCTGCGAGTAGCAAGTTGGCCATCTGGCCTAAAACATTTGATTGTTGTACATGATGGTTGATTGTTTTGGATGGGCCCTGTCATTTCAAACCCTGGCCTGAAGACCGACCCGAATTCGGAGCGGATCGATGTTGGGCTTTTGATTGCATCAACGGACGTGCGCAGCTGATGATCCAATTATATGGCAACATGGCTTGCCATCCAGGCACCAGCCGCATGTGACCATTTCACCGCGCACTAACAGAACTTGAAAGGGGTAAAATAAAGTTCAGTTAAGCTTCAGATGGGACTCTACTGCCAGGCAGTGATCCATCAAAGCCCAAATGGGCGTTCATTCAGCCGCTGCCCTCAGCGGACGACCCAAACAGGTGAGATCCCAAAATAAGAAGCAGGGATTTAATGCGCTTTGACGGCCATGAAATGACAAACACCCCCTAAGCTCTGATCCTCTGCCCCCTTAGCCGCACGTCTGCCGACCATTAAAAAAATAAGAAGTCAAAGAGTAATTAAAAATGTCTTGGGGAGTCGGCTTCAGGTTTGGACCTGTAATAACTGTTAATTCGTCGGATCGGGTCGAGTTCGGAAATGATGGCTACAGGCTGGGGCCAGATGAGATCGGATCTTTTGGGCCTGAATGCAACTCTAGTTAAAAGCCTACTTTTGGGGATTCCAACAGGAGGTTGGCTTGAAACATAGCAATGACGACTACCTACTGGACAGATCTGGTTGGCAGGCCGTAGACTGAGGAAGTCCTCTGGATGGAAGACGAAACATTTCTTACTTAAAGAAACTGGTCCAGATGATGTGATTTAACCTTTTTGTTGATGTGAAAGGTGACAGGCAAAAATGTAACTCTTCAAGGAATGCTAGGTTTTAGTGTTTACATTGTTAAATGTTTTCCCATTTGTTTATTGAATATCAAGAGATTTTTATTCCTAAGTAAGCTTTTCCAGATTAAAAATTAACTTGCTTTATCTAAATCTACACAATGTTTGAACAAAGGTACTGCACAGGGCACATTTTATGCCTGTTAACAAACATGTCAACGTACAGAGTATAGCAATGCCCCAAACTAGCAAAGACCTTGTATAACATTTGACCTTGACCTTTGTTGATCTTGATTTTAAAAGCAGGGGTGATGAAAAGTCTATGCCACACTCCGTCTTGTCATGATGCACATGAAGCTTTAATAAACTATCTTGATGACAGATGATTACACCCCACCTTCGACAGGTGTATAAAAAAACGTCAGAATTATGACTGTTTTCAATATTTACACGTACAATTATTTGCATAGGTTTATTATAGATGCACACCTGCACATTTTCAGCTTCATCATCGCTTGTTCTTTGAATCCTCACAGTGCCAGAAAGCGACCCATCCCTTACTTCCGACCCAGCCCTTTCTCCAGCAGCCGCTCCACCAGCGTGTCATCGTGGAGCAGCCTGTTCACACGCAGCCGCAGCCGAAGCAGCAGCTACTCGTCCTACAGGAGCTACAGCCGCAGCTCATCGTGGAACTCCATCTTTGGGTCCCGCAGTCGCAGCCGGAGCCGCAGCCCCCTGAGAAAACGAAAGAAAGCCAGACAATAACGTCTCTCAGGAAGAGAGCGGCTACGGCTTTTGTGTTCTCAAGCGAGAGCTTGGACAGCAGCTGTCAGAGCAGTTCACCGTGAGCATCTTTAGGATCCACTTTGCTGCCTGACTGGAAATGTCCCAGCAGTGACTCCACCACATCTTTCATGGAGACAGCTCCGTTCCTTCAGCCCACGCAGACAACAAAAGACTGAATGTCGTTTTGTTTGTTTGCTTTTGTGCGCTGAATCACCGTGCATCAGCGCTCACAACTGTCTCTTACAGCCTGATCATAAAAAAAAAGAAACGTCATTTCTTCATCTAACATCCTTGTTTCATAATATTCTAAATACCTACATTTTTTTCTTTTTAAATTATCCCTGGTTTTGCTTAGAACTGGTTTAATATTTGTTTATTTATTGTTATTAATGCAGCCAAATGAAATTTTCAGTCACAATTGGGTTTTTACTCTTTGCATACATGTATGTGCAAGCACAGATCTATAAAGAGTAAATGAGACGTTAACTGTCTTCATGACCCAGATTAAACACCAAGAGACGAAGCACTTGGGAAGCATTCAGACTGTTTGATGCCCGTTTACAGACGGCTTCACATGGGTCACCAGGAGGAACCAGAGAAAAGGCCTTTAGCTCAGATCTCAGCACTTAACCAGGTGGAGAACAAACATGCTCCCTCAGCCGGCGAGGAAGCTTCCTGTCAGATTAAAAGTCAAATTATTGTTTCCTCTGATCATGTGGGAAATCATTTTCTGTCTGCAATACAGCAGGGGACGATCAGAACAAGTTTTATGGTGTCAGGGGACACATTTCCTTTAACAACGAACAGAGAGTCGTTGATTTGATTGATCTGTTTTGGGAAATGGGACGTTTTAAAGTAATATTTAATCACTGAACTGCTCAGCATCTAAATTATGTTGTGACTCTGTTGGTATTTTAGACTCAATCTGTCAATTTTAGTTCCGTTTTTATTTGAAAGTTGTCAAATTAATCTAAAACGATGAGTTTCTTTTCTTTTCTTCACAACACAAGAAGAAAACCTTAGCAGACATATTTATAACGCATTTAATGTTTATTTATTATTGTTAATTTTATTATGTATTTATTGGTAAACCTTTCTTGCGGGTAATGTTCAGTCTTTCTATGCAATTCTGTCAGTTTGTGGTATTTTCGACTCCGCTGTCGATGACGGGGCTTCGCCTTCAGACAAGAACAAACTTTTACTGTTGGGACTTTTGTAAAAAGAAACATCGTATTTGGGCGATTACTGATTTGTGTTTTGTTCGTGCAGCCTGTCATTCCCAGACAATTGTTCAAACACCAATGATTTTTTTTTTACTTCCAAAGGTCAGGGAGGGCAGGAGGAGTTGGTATTGACAGATGAACAGTAAAACGGAGTAACGTTCTTCGTGCATGGCCTAAAGTTTTAAGTAGATTCATGTTTTTGGTGCGTTTACAGTTGTACTCTTTTAATTTTCCAATGGTTACTTTGACGGAGCTTCATGAAATGTCCAAAACTTGGGATTGGGTTTTACGATCTAACCCTATTTTAAATGTCTCAACAACTTTAATTCTGACTTGTATGGTATGTTCCTTGGTCTTCATGGTGCTGTTTGATCCATAATATTGTGTAACAGACCTCTGAGGCATTCGGGGAACAGCTGGATTTATACAGACATTAAATCACACACATGCAGGCCCTTTTGACAATTTGACTTCTGAAGGCAGTTTGTAGATTTTAGTTCGGGGTGTCAGTGTAAAAGGCCTGAATATAAATAATCTGCCACATTACTCAAATTTGTTATGTTTTTTTTTTATTATTTTTTAATTTTGTGGTTAAAAACAAAAACTAAACATGGTTGTAAACCATCTATCATTTCTTTCCACTTACCGTATTTTCCGGCGTACACGTCACACCGCCCTATAAGTCGCATCAGTCCAAATATGTATGTAAGTATGTATGTTTTATTTATTCATTTCATTTCATCCAAACAACAAATATAATACAATTTAAAGAAAAGAAAAAAGATATACAATCACCGAAATAAAATGAAAGGCAGCAGAAGAAGAATGAATTCTTATATTATCTGCCCCTTGTCCCCAAAATATATTCCAAACAAAATTACTATACAAAAGCAAGATGAATTAATAAAAAAAAATAAAAAGATAAAAAATAATAAAAAAAAACAGCTAAAATATAAGATCAACTGTAAACAATTTTTATGAACTCACATTATACTTAATATTTTTTTAAAAAACAAAGTTTTATCATCTTCTTGAATATGTACATAGTTTTGGCATTTTTAATATCAACCTCCAGATCATTCCACAATCTAATACCCTGAGATCTAGTGGATCGCATCTTCAGACTGGTGCGACACCACGGTTTCACAAACATCTCCATCCCCTTAAGATAATAATTACTTTCTCTTTCTCTTTTAACATTTCTCTTTTTAATATGTCTAATAAAGTTGAAAAATACATAAATACGTCACATCTTTTACGCGTCACCACTGACACGTCGCGTTTGTTACACATCACTGCTGACAACCTGGAAATGTGGGCCGGTGTTGTGCCAAAAATCGAGTGGCTGCCAAATGGCGCCCACGGGAGCGTGCACGGGAGGACTTTAACAAGAATTTAACAAGATTAACACTTAAAAACAATTATTTGTTTGCTTGAAATTATAGTAAAGGTGTGTCTCAGTTGAACTTTTACTTAATAAATGCACTTCAATCCTCAAATTAGCTGCATTTCACCTGGGCGGCGCAGCAAAATGAAGCTGATTTGATGGTTGCTCCAGGCAAGCTGGACGAAAGTGGCAGGTTATGGCAAGCCGATTGTGTCATTAATAGCCACTTTTTACCTATTACATGACACAACGACATGCCATTTTTCTCGAGTGCCATTTAGCGGCTGAAAATTGTAGTGTTCAATATTTTCAGTCAGAATGAATGAAAACGGTCGTATCTCAGACAAAAATTGGTTTATAAATATGGGAAAACATCCATAAATAAGTCGCTTCGGCGTATAAATCGCAGGACATGTAAATTATGCAACAAAAAAAAATTGTGACTTATAGGCTGAAAAATTCAGTAAATATGTGCTTCTTTACATTGATCTTTCCAATAAATCACAGTAAAATACTTTGAAGATTGCGGTTGTTAACGTTACAATCAAGGGGTATGAATACTTTTTCAAGATACCGTATTATTATTTTAATGTGTACATGCAGCATACATGAAACAAGTAGGAAACACCGGCTGACACAAACTGTGTAAAAGCTTTTGACAGAGTCGAGCTCTACCAAGGCAAAGCTGTTGTATTTTGATGACATCTTTAAAGCACATGTGGAAAAAAAAGTCTCCAGAGGTAAACATCAGCCAGGATGTTTCAAACAGAAGTGCTTGAACACAAAACAGTCTGACAAATTGTACATAAACAAAAAAATAAACTTGACCTCTTAAGAATGATTGAATGATTTCAGATCCTTCACCCTGTCTACACTGCTACTCCGGGCCTGACAGACTGCCCTCGTTATTCACTCAACTCTCAGATTATTCCCCTAAATGTCAAATAATTGGCCAAATGAAGGACATGTGGTGCTGGAAGAGGAAAGATTAGCACAAAATATCATCCATTTTACAAACTGGTGTGAAAGCTAGTGCTCTTTGTCTTCTTGGGGGAGATCTGTGCAATCTTGTTAATAAACTAAGATGGCCACCCAGGGCAGTGACCCCCCTCTCTCTATTTGTTTATATCCGTTCCTGTGCAAATGGCTTTTTGAACATGTAATTACTGAGTTGTAAATAGGCATCAGCGCTGTATAAATGATATAAAAGGTGTAAATATTTTCTGTACAGAATGTGACTGAAGACCGGTGGTGAACATTATGGATACAAACCGGCGGACAGGTTGATGTCTTCATTTGGGGTACGTTTTAAGATACCAATAAGAGTCTCAGAGCAATAGTGTTCCAGTGTTTCATTGTTAAATGATGCATTTCTACACCCGTTTTCAGTATGAACAAGCATAATGCAGAAGCATATATTTTTCAAACTGCATGTGTGTAAGCGTGAATCACATTGTAATAAAGTGTCACTTGGAAACTCAACCGTGATCTCCGGATAAACCACTTAAAACCAACTTTTCTTCTCACTGTGTGTTTTTAGGGTGATCTCAGCTGAAATGGGTCATCAGGTAAAATGGGTCAAATATGGTTGGGAAAACCATATTGCTTTGAAATTTTGAAGGTAATCACATTAGCTTATCTGTCACTTTGACCCTTTGATAAAGTTTAACAAAAGTATTTTATTTGGGTGAGGCAGTGAGTTAAGTGCAGAAGAATACCATGAAAACTGAGCCCGACAACGGTTGTAAGGCTCAAGAAAACTTTCTTTTCATTCACATCACATGTGGTCCATGAGGTGGAACTAAACGTTTTGCCCAAATTTTGCAAAATGCCTTTTCACTGCTGATTGCTGAATGACTTTGCCTGAAACTGGTCGATGCATGAATTGTTAGCTAAACGCAGCATAAGAAATTTTAAATAAAGCAAGTATGCTGAGGCCGATTTCAAGGAGAACACGTGTTTTGCAGGAATTGAAAAGCTCTCAATGTTTTCAATATGTTTTAAATAAAGTTAAGTAAAAGTTGCAAGTATTAGAGCACACTATTCCCAAAATGAGCATTTCAACACTGTGGTTAAAAATAGCACAAAGAATGCTAAAGGTTTGAAGAAAGACAACAGGAAAACTACAGTATGAATGCTGAATCAACTAATAATGGTGATTAAATTAACTTTACTCTCTTTTAACCCTGATGCTGCAGGTTTGAGCGAAGGTTGTGTCAGAAAGGGCATCTGGTGTGTAACTATAGCCAAATCTCTTGTGGGAGTTCACACGCTGTGGCCACTGCAGAAAGGAACAGAGGAAATAATAATATTTCAAATACCAACTTATGTTTTGAAGCTATTTTTGATACCGGTTCATTTTAGCAGATACTGTTAACTTATGAATAACTATAACATTATCATTTACAAAACACTAATTCTGATGCAGATCAGAAATGGAATACCAAAAAGGTGAAAATAGCAAAAGGCTAAATGAAAAGATAAAGAGGCAAGACACAAGCGAAAAGAAAAGCAGCAAAATGACGGCTATGAACTAAGTCAGC